AGACTCGGCACCTTAATTTATGCTTTAGATTGTGGACTTGGGTTGGGAACATTCAATAAAATCCTTTTTCTATTGCCTGAAGACAAGGAAGGGCCCGAATTGCCTGCACTGCATGCTACTACAATATCTCGTTTCGCCGATTGCGATTCCATCTTCTTTGTACTGCCTACTAGTCGATGGACCGATTGAAACACTGATTACTCGAACACCATCCTTGATGGCATCGTCAAAGGCAGCAAGAATGTCATCATTGAGACATGCGTTGCCTTCTGCTAGGCTGTAACCCGGAACTGGCCAACATACGTTGTACATGGCCAGGCGCACGAGTGGAACGCTCTCAGTGGCGGTTCCACTAGCAAATCCTCCTAGTGCATAAACATTACTAACTCTTCAGCCTCCAATGGTCGATGATGTGTGAGTTCCATGACTACTTTTGTCCCTTGGTGATCGGAAATCCAAACTTGTGTTGAGGCGACCAAAATAGGCCTCGTAACCCTCAAGCAGTAGCGAGCTCCGATTATCTTTATACAAGAATGCCAAACAATTAATCTTTTTTTTTTGACATAATATACAGTTAATATTATAAACATAAATAGTCACAATATGTGTGAAGAATTCACCTATTACAATTAGATGAATTAAAATCATTGAAACTCTCGGATTCGGGCCATATACCTAACGGAAGATAGATATTACTAAGATACTTGACATAGGCGCTATAGCTTCAGTTAAAAGAAAGTGAAATTTTTACGTGTTTGGCCAAGTAATTTAAAAAAAATTACTCATTGAGTAAACAATTAATTAATTTTTTTTTTCGTTCAAAGTTGGGTATGTTGTCCCTTTAGCTATTCTTCATTAAAATATTAAAATAGGAGGATGTCATTTCAAAGAATTTCATTGTTGTGTTATGTATTGTGTTTTACTATCTGCGAACAGGAGGTGATGTAATGATTTGTCAAAATGTTAATGAAGAGATAGCTAAGGAACACAACTAAATGGGGATATCAAATTCCAATTCGTGATGGGCATGTTTGGATAGGTCTAGAAAAATGCAAAGTTACTTTTAAGAAACTTTTTATTTCCAAACACGCTAAGTTACAATATATCTAACTTTTTCAAGTCCAAAAAATTATTTTTATCAAAACTAATTTATTTATTTTCAATTTTCACCAGTAATTGAAGTTAAGCCAAACATGCTCTCAAAAATGACTCATACCGTCTTATAAAAATAAGTTCTACTCTATTTACATTTTTAATTAAAAGAGTAATTTATCAAAACATTAATTTTTTAAGCTTTTTAATGGACGAGAAGCGGGTTGAAAAGAAATCATACAAATGATCAAAAATTAAACTTGATTGTAATAAATTTGTTATCAACGTGTAGATCTGCAAATAAAAACCTGTTCAGATTACCAGTGTCTAAGACCCCGACAACGATATCCTTCCCATAATTTGCGTTATGCAATAATTCTTCTGCATTTGAAGAGCTTGAATTCCCAATTCCTTCAAGTAAGTTGATAAAATCCCATGATCTTGTCGTGTGAAGCCTCAATTTAGTCGGTTCAGTATGAAATGCCGATATCACACCATCCATCTCTAAATCGAGAAACAAGCAAAGCAAACACAAAATTTATAGTTATTGACACTCGATGTGATAGCTACATTCATTTTTAATGGGATATTCTTACATTTGTCACACGAAAAATAGCCGCCTAACAAATTATTTTACATCTGAAGCATGCGCCTGATAGCTTGGCAGCTTCTTCTGGAGTGAGCAATGCTGAGAAGCCATTGATGACGTTCTTATAGCAATAAATTAGACAGTTTTTAGCTTCGAACCCTTTACAGAATTCAGATAAGAGTGATAGAATTCTTTGATTTCTTGAAAAGTTTTTGTCCCACTTTGTTCTCCAAGGTACACTATATACACCTGTAAAAGATTCAAATCAGTATGATCTTTCCGTCACGTTCGGCCTCACCAACTATTCTAGAGTTGCTTGTCATTCCAACTCAGTATTAACAATGCATTTCAAGTTGAAACAAAAGTAAATGGAGTGAGAAAATATTGAAGATACCAACCCAAACTCAAAGTCTACGTAGACCAACCCAAAACCGAAGTTATTAAGCGAATATTTTATTATTAAGAAGATTTCGTATCCTTGATTTCGGATTATGTCTGCCCATAGTTTTATTCTAAGGGTCCGTTTGATTGAAATGGTGAAAAATTGGTGGAAAGAAAATGAATTCCAGGGAAAGTAATTACCTAAAACTTGATTTGCAGAGAATTATTAATTAAATGTATTTGATAGGTAAAATTTTCCACCCGGGAAAATTTTATGGAAAATTTTAAAATTTTGGATCTTTTTGTTCACGTTTGACTTTATTTTACATGAAAATTGTCCATTAAAGTGAAATTTTTTTTTTTTTTTTTTTTTTTTTTTTTTAATTTTTTT